TGACGTTTTTTTGTTGAAAATATCCCATATTGGCATTTTTGTCACATTTTTAAAAACTTCTCTCGATAAGAACATCTGAGAACATTTCCAAGTATTTGATTGGTTGACTTTTCCCTACAGCGAGCTTTGAACACTGAACGAAACTACTTAACAAAACTACATTGAGAATGCAAAAAATAAATATTTATTTTTCGAACATTTTACGACGAAATAAGTAAATAAATTCTGAAGATTTTATTTTCATTTTTACATCAAAATACAGGTGGTCCGTTCATTTTCTCAAAACAAAATGCCATTCAGACATTACTGGTCAAACGGACCTGTCACATTGGATAAAGAGGTGGTCCGGTTCAAAAATAGCTGGTCATTGGCCCCCGGGACACCGGTTATGCTCCACCCTGCTAGGGGGGGACCCCTGCTACGGGCCTGCAGTAGTTCTAAGAATAAGATGTGAAGATTTTCTAATAGTTTGATTTTGTTTCTTAAAAGAACGCTTCACTGGAGTATAAAGTTGTAATAAGGGCCCACCCCCTAAGCGCCTGCCCCCCTTCGATAAGTTCAGTTCAAGAAATAGTGAGGAAAGACCAAATATTAACACCTACATTAAGAAATTCTTAATTCTAAAGAAATCAAGAAGGCGACAAAGAGTACTAATACTAAAATGCACTAGGTAAGGTAAAAATACTGCTCGGTGTAAACCAGGCTTCAAAGGTTGCAATATCTAGCTTTTGAATCAAAATAAAACAGATCATTCTATAAAGAGGAAAAACATGAGTGCATATGATGAAGATGAGTAATATGTCCTCAGGTTAATCTATGACAATTAAATGTCACACTTTCTATATGTATTATAAGGCAAGTGCCCAATTATACTTGCGTGCATGATAAACTGACCCTGTGATCAATGATACATAATCCTGTAAAGCCTGTGCAAGCAAAGTCATGGATATTCCTATGAAAACAAATATTTTTTCAATTTTCAGAAAAATTCTTAATTTTACCTGACAATATAACAGTTTTGCATCCTTCTCGATGTGCCACGCCTACCCTGAAGTGTGCTCATGTGGAACATCACTTATCATTATCAATTTTTGACCCGAGTCTTACATAAATAACCTGCCTCAATAAATTCTTGAGTATTTTAGGATTCTTTTTAAGTTACTGAATCTCTGAATTGGCGCAGAACGAAGAAATTTTTGTTTTTTTCAATTTTTCAAGCTGGCAGTTTGGCTTTGGATGGGGAATCCCCTAATGACATCCGGGTATGGTGCTTTCACCAGATTGCTGCAGTCTGTAGGCATAAAATAGCTGTAGTTATTTGAATGCAGTCCCGCCGATTCAAGAAGCAATTCAAAGTATTTACACATGGTGATCATCTATATTAGCGTTAATTATCTCCATTTACCATGAACAAGTTGATTTCTCGCGCCAGTACAGTGCAGGGCAAGAGGTTAATCGCACGCTCTCTAATTATGATCATTCCACACGGACGGTCCTGCGGTAAAACATTCTGCAGCAACCCTGTTTAGCCATATATATTTGCTACAAGAATTTTTATTGGCTAAATAACCGGGAGAAAAATATATTTCACGAATCAGATTGATCGTTATTTTACGCTGTTACAGTGCTGGTATATATTAATTGATCAGTCGTTTAATTGGCATATCTTCTTGAATTTTAACATTTAATACCCCAAACTCCAACAAACTGCAGAAAAGTATACACCATAAATCATATTTACCAAAATGAGTGTCACCAAGGCTTCACACCAGCATATACATAATGCATTTGTCACAAGTTTGAGCTGAAATTTCGCCAAAATGAAGTAGGCTAGAGGTAGTCTCTGCCAGGTTTGTTTACTGTGGTAAGCTTGTAAGTGCTCAGAAGCAAATAATTCATATGCGCAAAATAATCAAATAATCTGATTGGTTTAAACTTTGCTGCACATGCGCGAAATGTGTGCCATGTTTTTTTCTAGTGATTTCGTTTCATTTCATGGAGTTTGCCTTTCAGTGTAACTTCCGCAAAAATGTTTTTGATTTTTTTTGTTGTTTTTTGTATTATTTCATCGGTACATATAGGAAATATGATTTTTGCGTATACGATACGTAAGATTTGTTGCAGTTTTGAGTGAAGATGAAATAAACTGCGTAAAAATCGCAAAAAAAACTGCGTTAACGCGAACTTAGCATTAATTTTGCCTGTTGTTTTCATTTATTTAGCCTGTTGTGAGATATTCTTGTGAAGAAACCCCTGGCGGAAGTCTTAATTTCTAACAAGTTAGTGTTGAAGTAACCCCATTTGGGTGTATGGACATTCAGAAGAAGACAATTGTCAACATACACACATAATTCAATGTGGCAGGTGAGTGTAAGAATGAAAGAATGACTAAAAGTCAGATACAAACCAGTCACAAGCCAGCTACCTTTTATATGTGCTCTTTGAATTTTTCTTTGATATTGTTTTCAATTTTTTCACTAGAGGCAATCTGCGCGAGATTCCATTTTTTGGTTCGGTTTTTTGCGCATGCGCATTAAATCCAGCAATTTAATTGGTTAAAATTATTATCACGCATGCGCAATTAATAGCTGAAAAAGAACATTTAATTTGAGATAGATGTCACTTACGTTCATTATTTCACAGCAGTCCCTACCCATGATGCACCATATAGTGCGGGAATATTTTTGTTTCGTGTCAAAACAAAAAGTATACACCCAAAACAAATGTAATGACATAATATCAACCTGCCCCGGATTTGTAGACGTGTGTTGTACAAACTTAAACCGAACCGATGGCAAAAAGCACTTTGAATCATGGGAATGAAGTACTTCCTTTAATGAAAAACCGAACCAAGTAAAAACCGAATCTCGCGCAGATTGCCCCGAATTTTTTTGATTTTTCAATTTTTTAGAAAAAAAATTACTCACCCCACACATTCATCCAGCCTTCTATCCGGCTAGGAAATCGATTTTCCGTGCTACATTCCTCTTTAGACATATTTATGTACTTTCTTATATCCTATTTGCTTCATTTACTGCCTTCGATGATCATAAATTTACACTTTACTAGAAAAACACTAGAATTTCAACTTTGAGTAAATCCGCCATTGCTTATCTTGCGCGTATTAATTTAGATTCTCGGAAACTTTTGAAAATTCAAATTACTTTTGTTGTATCCCAATCTGTGTATCATTATTGCTAAAATGAACAAAACAATATATAATTGTGCATATTATGGAATATTCAGCTATTACTTTTACTGAGGATATATATTATATTCTACGGATTATATTGTTATGCGCAATATATACAAAGCGGAATTTGGCACCTATCTAGTCATAGAAAGATGGCAGTCAAATCGCGCAAATTGATTGATTGAAATCTAGCCACTGAATGTGTCCTTGCGAAATGTGATGTTAAGCATCTTTTATCACCATCAATGATTACAACCAATGGCATTGGTCGACTCTGACTTCAAACTGTCAACAAATCACTTTTTAGCTTGGGAATACATCTTTAAGTTTTGGCAGAGTTGATGCTTCAGTTCTAGCCAATTAGTTTCAGGGCCCTTGCGCTTTGGTCATCTCAGAGACATACTGACATAGGCCTATGTTTCATATGTCTGGTCATCTCATGGGCGGGAAAATATCAGATCAGATGTTTTGGTTTATTATCAATTTATCATTCCAAGTTTATGCGTAAGCTAATAATATTAGTTTTATTCTCACATAAGTGAGCTTGCACTGATAAACAGCTTTGGCCAATCAGAAAATAGTATAAGTTATCCATTTTTCAGATATCTAAGCATGAGAGAGATTTAACCTATGTCTATGTCTATGTCGATAATCTGCAAAAGGCTAATTAAGCCCATATAAAGCAGATATATAATTTAACAGTGATAGAATTTGAATAGAATATTATTTAAAACCTAGTATGAAGAAATTTCATTTCGTCATCCTAGATTTAAACGAGCCAATAAGCATTGTGGTTGAGAAAAGAGAAATGGTATATTGTCACATTGTGTGAAAAATTCAAAATAATAGAATTAATGATAAGCCAAGTTGGATCAAATTGTAAAGAGTTATTCCCAGATTGGGTCTTTGCTTTTTTTGGTTGCATGTGTTTATTTTTTTGTAATATTCCTCAATGAATATTAAATTAAGCACCAGTTACTTGTATGATACCGTACCGTATGTATAATATACAAGTCAGGGGCGGATCTGGGAACCAACGGGGGGGGGACAAATTTCAGGTCAGAGAAAAAGACGTCCGGGACGTTTGGAACCCTAAAACCCAAAAGTGGGCCCAAATCTTGATATTTTGAGGCCCATTTCTTCAAAATTTGGCCTGAAATTAAAAAATGAGACCTTAAAAGTACATGACCAAAAAGGCCATACCCCATTTTTCATTATTCAATGACCACATTATCAGCAGTACAACAGACAATGAATGGGCACCCCATAGCCCAGATATGGCCCCATTAATCTTTACCTGTGGGAATATCCCAAAAATTTAGTGTAGGACACCAGAACAACAATTTGACCAGCTCAAAATTAAGATCACGTGTGTCGTTCAGGCCATACATGTACTTGCTGAGGAATGCAGTTACATGTCTACGAAATTGAATGATGTACATTTGTGAAATATCAGGACGAAATTTCTAAAAATGACAAAGATATGAGGAAAAATTACGGTTACCGTTTTTTACAACCCTGTACTATTTTTCTTCGAGAGGTATACGTGTCTCTTTGAAATATTATTTTTCAAAAATGGTTCATCACGACCCTCACTTATACCAGATTCTTGGACCCGACCCGAACTGAGTGTTTACTTAAGCAAGATTTTTGAAAATTGTGTTCCTAAACTATGGACATTGATCGGAATTCATTTTTGTTTTTATGAATGAAATGCGAATCCGATAAGGTTATTTTGAATCACTTTTTGTTGACCGTGCTAACATGTTTTGTTATTCTCCCGAGGCTGTTCTATACTCGACTATAAAAAAACTTCTCTCATTAAACAAAATTGGGACTTTTGCCAAAAGTCTACAGAAACCTAAGAATGTTACTTTTTGTTCTGAGGTCATAAGTTGGCGTCTGATAGCGGTCACACCAACTCGAAGTCTGGCTTCGCTCTCACTTCGCTGGTGGATAACGTATCGAGAAGCACGCTAGTAGTAAGTCTAGGAAGGCGCAGAACCACTCGCTCAAGACTACCACACTGAACAGACCAATCAACAAAACACAATCATTGACTGGCATACGAACGAAGCCACCTGATTGCGACTGATTGTACTTTCCCGGCTACAACTCGAGAATCAGACGCATCAACGTAAGCTATAACCTCGTCACCACCTCGGCAAAGTTCATTCCATTTTAGCACGAACTCCGGACAGCAAAGATGACTGACTACGAAGCATTCTTTAAGGAGGCGGACACAGATAACTCTGGTTTCCTGACTCTGAGCGAACTAAAGGGATGCCTCGTAAAGCGAGGGTACAAGGGAACAAGCGGAGAACTTGAGGTAAGTATCAACATGGGCTTTCAACGGACCAACATGATTCATCATTGAAATATCGATTCAAATCAAGACTCAAAAAAATCTTTTAAACATAAAACCAATTGCGTTTGCTAAATACACACATGCATTCATAGATATTATTAGTAATTGTTGTTTGCCTCCAGTTATAAAGGTATGCCGGGGTTGGGAGAATTTCACTCCGTTAATTGCATTTTTGCAATTCATGGCATATGCACCCCGGGAACCCCGTACAGGTGTAGATCATAGGTGCAGATGATGGGTTATTAGTCTGTTGTTTGTATTTTAGTGCTCTCAAAATAGGTAAAAGGCAAAAACCAAGGTCTCAGTATAACAGGTATAAAGCATCTTTGTGTTGTCCGTTTCGCTTATTTTAAAAACGCAACACCACCTTTGTTACATTTTTCTGCTTAACCCTAATCAACTATTGCAATAAATTATTCTCGTTAATCTCAATGTTGCAGCCGTGGATTCTTTATCTTCCCTTGGTAATATCACGATATTAATTCTAACTACTATTATGGCGAAAACGCGGAATGGCCAATGGCTAATATGAAAAGTAAATGGTAATTACGAGATAGTAGGTATTGATGCTAAATAGTTGCGATGGAAGAATTGCAAAAATATAGGGTTAATAAGTGAATTCGAAACCAATAACCATTGGCATATTTACTTGGTTGAATATTCTTTGCTCTGGATATACATATTGCTCTTTCGTATTACATTTAAATACATTCTATATGCAAACCATGTGTTACATATCTAAAGGCAATTTTTCAGTAATCAATTCTTTGATTATCAACGGAAATAATTTCATCGGGGAAACAATATAGACAATCCACCGGAATATATATTTATTCTCCAATTATCTCTATAATTTGATTCAAAACACACTGGATTTGTTTAACAGCTACGTTGTTTATTAAACGACTGTAGAGAGTAATAAACGTCTATAAAGGCTTACAAACATATATTTCTAAGAGCCCAAGTGTTATGGGCTACCCAAGCGTTCCGTCTCTTGCCCAACTATTCTGTCAACACAAATATTCCGAGTTCACTTATTTTATCAGATCTAAAAATAAACAAGAGTGGGTAGTCCATTGAGGCCGATTTTTCATATCTGACAAAAAGGTAAGTTTCTGAAATGGAGTTAGCCCAAAACTGAATATATTGATTCATTTTCTATTTGAATATGTCATTGCATTACCCCTTGCATTTGTTCGGATTCACTTCTTAAAAGAGAGCTTCGTCTTCGTTTATAACTAGACTATGCGTGCAGGGCAGTCATTGCTTCCGAGTGCAAAAGTAGGACTTGGGAATTTGCCACCCTTCAACAACAACTCTCCTGCCAGTTTAATTTTCTATAAAAGCTGAGACTAACATAATGTTAGTCTCAGATGAGATGTAAGACCTTTATAACTCGGGCAATTTGAAAATCAACGTATCGAGTGTATTCAATAAAATAAGTAAACCCAGAATACTTTGGACAAGTCAAAATACTTCGGCAAGAGTCGGAATGCTTGGGTAACCCTGAACAGTGAACACGTGGAGGCGGAGCTCCACAAATTTGCGTACAGGGTTACAGATAGAATTTCATATTTCATTCTGAATCGTGATAAAACTATTCCATGGAAATATACGAAATTCCTGACTAAATGTCTCTCCCATGATAGAGAATGAGTAATCTCAGGATACAAAAGCAGGTTTCAAAGTAGTCTTACTCGAGTCCAACACCAAAACTCAAATTCAGATACAAATGAGTCCAACAATAGCCAATCGTTGGTGGTAGGAGACATGTACAGGGAATCTGGGAATCAACAAGGGAACCATCAATATGAATATTTAAGGTCCATTTTCGTAATAATTTGGCCTGAAATTTAAAACCAGTAGTGCTAAAAAAGGCCCACTAATTGGGCCCCTAGAACTGTTTGGGCCCCAAATTGTTTTTGGGCGCATTTTTTCTGGGCCCACCCGCGAAGGGGGGGGGGCAGATCCGCCAGTGTGTACAATGCCCCTGAAACAATTACACGGTTAGATAGATTAACATTTGATTCATCATTGGCGAGTCCGCCATTTCATTTTGAATTTACAGCAAAAGGTTTCAATTATCAGAAAAAGCAGTATGCGAAATATTACATTTCAACTTAATTATCATCCCGCCAGTTATGCTCATACCAATGGCAGATTTATCAAATCTATCAACAAAAGTAACCCACGCCAAAGATTCTTAATTTCCCGTTAGTCCAACCGATCATCAGCTCTTAATATTTACATTTTGCATGGAGGAGCAATATTTGACCAATCCTTTTTGGATTATCAATTTCTTGATGGAATGTTAGTATTTCTGCCATTTCCTGAGATTCTACACTCTGATCTATCTGAAGTTTAAAAACATTGGGAAATTATGACTTATAAGGTCACCTCGATCGTTTCTATAATCGGCAGACAAAAACACTTTACATAGTGCAACAACAGCAAGTGTTTGTGAATTCCTACATATTTTGTAAAACAAGATTTTTTCACTAAGCCTACACTACTAGGGCTGTCAACTGCCAGCGAGAAAACAGCTCGGATTCATTATGATGAAGTCAGTCCAACGCAGATACTCAGAATTCCAAACACGCGCATACTCAAAATTTCATATAGCCTATAGGTGCCATCCTCCTAAGCAGGTGTCCAGAATCCGTACCTCCTTCTTCCCCCTGCTATAACCAATTTGGAAGCGCCCGATTTAACTGAATCACGTGATCTAATTATACACAATGACTCACTCTTGCAATGACTTATACATGATTTCTGTCGCAGTGTTGCGACAGCCAATCAGATTGCGAGTTCTTAATCGGGGAAAAGGTAACTGCTTATCGCAGCGGGTAAAAAGAAAGAATATATTCTGGATTTTGAAGCCCCGTGATCGGAGGATGATAGGTGCACATGCTCAGAACAACACAAGTACTTACGCACGCACTTTGTATATACATACTTAGAATTTCATATACACACTTACTCAGAATTGCATACTCAGAATTTCATATACGCACATACTCAGAATTTCGTATGCTGACACACTAACAATTTCATATGCGTACATACTCAGAATTTCATGTATTCAGAAAACAATGAAGACCGAATGCATGGATGCTCTGATAAAACTCAATAGAATATGTTTGAAACTAGATAAATATGGTATCAGCTGCCGTCAATAGTAATGATAATATAGTAATATACACAACGCTTCAGCAAGCGGCTGGCCATTAAATTGAAACAAAAACATTGTCTGTCTAGCTATAGCTGTTTTTAAAAGTCGGGTTGACACACTATTATAGTATTTCCAAAGTGATACCATTCTTGCTGTTCGACGTGTCATTTTTTACATAGTTGTTCTGTGAGCAACTTTAATGATGCCTTGCCTCTGCATATGCGATATACCAAGGAGGATTGGCTCCAAGAATCGAAGTCGATATTTTCCAACAATGAAAACGCCGAGATGTCGTTATTTTCTGAAATTATAACCGATTATAAATTCAAAATAAACAGTTCAAAAGATTCGAACCAATATCTCGATCATTTCCTGTGAGTTTTAGAATTTTTCGTTAGGAAATAAGACCAAAATTCACGATTCAAATGTTGAAGTGAACAAAATAGCGGCTGTTGGAATTCAAATTTTGTAGCACGACATGCCCATATATGGGACAGAATATCGATGTTGCACTCTGGGAGCCAATCCTCCTTGCGATATACTAAATGATAAATGATGTCAGAATGATTCATCAATCCGATATGTTGTCCCACTGTTGATCTGGATATCATCTTGATCCATTACACTATTTTATGAAAATGACTGGAGGATTGCATTGGTATAAAATAGATATCAATCAATGCTATTTTCCAATCAAAAGCTTTAAACCACTGGAACTGAACTCATTAGATACGAATTATTTACCGAAACGGATCCGTTTCGATGGTAGCACAATGTCGGAACTCCGAAGGTACGATTTTTCTTTTTTCCTTATATCTACCCTTCGCGCAGAGTCTAGTTATAAACTACTGAAGACGAAGATGCCGTAGGTAATTACAAAAAGTGCATATTCAATAATATATGTTGCACTGCGGATAACTGGAAACGAAGACCTGATGTCTTCGTTCAGCATGGCCGGACTTCCGGTTGTCAATAATTTTTGTTTTCTAGATTTTCAATCACCATCCTACAAATTTTACCCTGCGCGTAGAGTCTAGTTATAAGCGACTGGAGACGAAGGTCTCTTTTAAGAAGTGAAGTCGAACGAATGCAAAGGGTAACTTATTTCAGTTGTAGGAAGAACCTCCACAACATTTTGTATCACAAACGTGTATCAGTATCATATGTTTAAGAAAATCTACAGTTTGCAAACCAATCATGTACAGAAAACAACAGAATCATCATCGATATAATATCTCGATCACTACTAGTATTACGTAAACGGAACAGTTTTAAAATTGCAGATCTAACCGTTTTTAAAGTTCCGTTTACGTAACAGAAGTTTGAAGAGTGCAATACCAGTGTAAACATGGCTATTATCGTGGATTACTTTATTGCAATTCCTGACATGGTGTTCATTTCTCTTGTAATTTTCCAATCTGCTCATGAGTACTGGATATAAATAACATAAATAGATAATTGAATGGTGTATCACTGGTGAAAAAATCAAAGAGATTGGTCCATAAAAAGCATCCGTGTAAAAAAGCGTCCATTACTTATTGATCACCCCTCGTAGTACTTCTGACACGCGCTTACTTTGCATTTAATTATTCAAAATTGCAGGGTGCAAATGAGTTGAGAGAAATTGATATGAAATCAAATCAAATAAACCTAGCATTTACAGTTGTGTTTTATAGGCCTTATATCAACTTTGATTTTATTTCAGAATTTGTTCAACAAAGCGGACCAATCAGGCGACGACAAGATGTCGTTTGAGGAATATATGGTTGTCATGGGAGCAGCATCACCTGAGCAACACAAGTATGAAACTGCATGAATCAATATTTATATTTTTTCTTTGACATTAATGTGCTACTAAAGTTTTACATTTAGTCTTTGTTTCCCGCTTTTCAAATACAGCTTTCAATTCTTCAAATTGACTTTAAATGAACCGTCAACATATGTAGCATATACATTTAAACGTTTTATGAGTTCCAACACGCTGGGGATCAACTGGAAACGAAGACATAATGTCTTCGTTTCACCATGGCCTAACTTCCTGTAGAAGAATTTGGTAAGAATTTTTGTTCCGGTTCATTACACATCTCAGAAAAAGATTTTAGTGATTATTTTGATATTTACAAATCAGTTCCCTTGCTTAGGAAACGAAGACAGTTTCCTTTTTGTAGCACTGATACGAAGACATACTTTATTTGCAACGAATACATTCATTGCTACTATTGCATATACACTCCCCTCCATAAGTTTGGCAACCTTAGCTCCCCCATTGAACTACGTGTTAAAGCCTCTTTACGTTTGAATTTTTATTTACTTAACCTGCGATGAAAATAGTTATAATATTGATGGAAACGTAACTTGACTTGAAAATAGTTATAATATTGATGGAAACGTAACTTGACTTTATTTCTAATACCTCCAAATTTTCTCATTTTTTCCTCAATGACAATGGGTCAAAAATTTATAATGAATTTGATGAATTTTTGAAAATCGACATTCCCATGTTAACCAATGAGAAATGGTAGGTTTGCCACAAGTCATATGACAGAATATCCATCCATCTGAGTCCTTGCAAAAAATACAATTTAAGTACGCAATTGAATTTGCTAACTTTATTTAACAAAAAATTGATACGTTTCTTCAGGTTCAACAAAGTTATAGGTCTTTAAAGTCAAAATTGTTTTTCAAAAAACCTCTCCCATTGAAATAACACAGGAGGCGAAAAATGATTTTCAAAAATGACTTTGAAGCTCTGTAACTTTAGTATTCATCAAATAAACTAAACACTCAGTGTACAACAAAGTTAGACAATTCAGTTTTCTATATTAAAATATTTTTTTGCTGAATCTTTTACTGAATAGATATCCTGATTTCTGATTTACCACGAACCCATCATTTCCCATTGGTTTACATGGGAATGACGATTTTCAAATATTCATCTTTATCATCAAATTTCGACCTATTGTAATTGAGGAAAAAATTGGGAAAATTTGGAGGTATTGGAAATAAAGTCAAGTTACGTTTCCATCAATATTATAAGTTACTTCATCGCAGGTTAAGTAAATAAAAATTCAAACACAAAGAGGCTTTAACACGTAGCTTCAATGGGGGGGGGGGGGGTGGCTAAGATTGCCAAACTTATGGAGGGGAGTGTGTCAACGTAGTGATATCCCTATGGAGGGTGTCATTTGCACTTGAAAGCACGTTGTAAATGTTTTGGAGCGATTGAACTCTTTTTGTGATTCTGCGTTACCCCTTTACTTAGTTCAATCAGATATCATTGATAAGTCCTCGTTTCTTTGAGAAACTGTCTTCGTTTCCCGGTAGAGGGAATTGTTACAAATGCAAGTCATTCAAACAATAACTGTATTTCTTAGGTGTAACCATCTTTCGAAACCGCAACCTACGCATTACATGCGGGCCAAATACTTAGTTGAAAGGATAGGTATCGATATGGAGTGTTACGCGGTATATGGCATACATTCATGGTTGCGCGGTATTTGTGATACGGGTGAATATGCCATACTCACCTGCGGTATATGGCATATTCCGCAGTTGAGTATGCGATATTCCGCAGTGAATATGCGATACATTGATTTCAGTGAATACCCGACTACTCATCTGCGGAATATGTCATACTCACTTGCGGAATATGCCATATACCGCAGGTGAATATGACATATACCGCAGGTGAAAACGTGATACAGAAAGCCTTGATTTGATTGGTTGCGTGAATCGACTCTAAATGTAAAACTACACTGGATTACCAATATAGTTAGTGCGTCGAGTACTATTATATGAATCCTGGATTGATTGAGTAAGTTTATTACGCGAGTTTGGTGACTGATACTTCTGCTAAGTTAATGTATTCGATACACAGTACTGTTGATTCAGTACTTATTATAATGATTTATAACGTTTTACTTGTTCGTTCAATCGATGCAATTGACAATTGCGTACTTCCGTATCACGTTCTCATTGGTTAGTGTGTATGCCATATACCGCAGGTGAATCTATCATCCACCGCAAGTGAATATGCCATATTTGTTGCGGAATATGACATATTTTTGTATCGTGTTTACCGCGTAACAATGGAGAACTGAATTCAACAATGTTTTTCTCTTAAACCAATCATTGAAAACATTCTGTAAAAAAACATGGTATTTTATGTAATGTTGACTGATTCACAACAATTTAATGCGAAAATTATTTAGAAATATTTTATATAACTGTTTTTGTTAACATTTTTTTTTTTTTAGTGCAATTGTTTTTGTTCCTTTCTACCAATTCTTGAGAATGAAATAAAATGTCTTTCCGAACCTCGTTGGAACAAAATAGCATATACAACATGTTTTTAGACCTCTCAATATTAAAGTTATACAAAGGAATTTTTGGTTGATTTTAAAAAAGTATTCAAAAAATTAAAACAAAATCCCCCCAAAATAGATAAAAATCAAGAAAAAAACTTTTATTTCATTAACAAGATACTTTCCGAAATTTCCTTTGTACAATTACAATATTAGAGACCTAAACATGTTGTGTTTATGTCGTTTTGTTCAAATGAGGTTCGGAAAGATGTTTCATTTCACTCTGGAAACATGATACCAAGAACAAAACAAGTGTTTGATGTTTTTTAAACAATATAGATGAAAGTATGTACGAGGGGGGATTCATAAGTAGTGGGACAAATACTATAACTTCACTTATATCAACCAGATTTTATTCAAACTTGGAACACAGAACCACAAACATGTGATAATCATTGTGTGAAAATTTCAAAAAGTTACACCCAACTTCAGTTAAGTGAGAGTTCCAAACATGACGTCACAACAGGGTCTACGGAGCACATTGTTTGTCACTAATTGCTAGTTAAATATACAAGTCTCAACTGATATTTAGGACGTGATCTAATCCATGACTTCTAGCGAGTCCTTTTGTGGAGCACATCAATTCTGTGCAAGACTATTGATTCCTTATCCTTCTGTTGCAATCTCACTATTTCTCAAAGTATTCGCCATGACAATCAATGCATTTTTGGCATCTCTTCAACCATTCTAGGTATGCACCCACAAAACCATATTTTCCAAGATTGATCATCTCGGCTCTCACAGCATATTCAGAATACATATACAGAATACCGCCGATATACTGTAGATTTTTTTACTTTTTCTTTCCCATAGACTTCCAACAAACCTCTATAGGTCTCTAATACTGAAAACTTCTTCAAAGCATTAAATTTAATCACAGCACGGATGTTTATACGTGATTCTTGCTTTTTCATTGCTATTTTAATCACATTTTGCTCCATCCAAGAAGGACTCTAAATGGCAGTGTCCTGGTGTCACTGCTTTGTGTGACATCACAATAGCATGATGATGTAACATATGTTACAGTTGCGATGACTACAAGGCTTGAGACAATATGAAACCAATTTTTTGGAAATAACTGTCATTTTGAGATATTTATGAGCATATTTATGTTGATCAAGCCCTTCATTTTTTAACTGCTCCGTTAACCCCTACTTTTGGTTACCATAGCAACCATTGTTGCTAGGGAACAAAATGAATTAAATTGAAATTTCACCAAACAATGCCTTATATCCTAGTCCGTTCATGTGCCAAATTTGGTTGAGATATGTACACAGGGACTTGCTGCCTCAGAAAAGTCCCACTACTTATGAATCCCCCCTCGTATATCTATTTCAAATTATATTGTCACCATTCAAAACATGGCCATTAAATTGACAATTTGTGAGATTTTCAGAAATTTTTGATGACTGGTTTAAGAGAAACGTGTGTTCAAAAAGTTCGCCATATCGATACCCATTCTTTGTAGGATGAAAATCACCATCCTACAAATTGACAACCGGAAGTCTGGCCATGCTGAAACGAAGACATCATGTCTTCGTTTCCAGTTGATCCCCAGTGCAACAGATATTGTTGAAAAAGCACTTTTTGTAATGACCTAGATCGTCTTGGCATGCTTACACACGGAGGGCGCCTAGACAGATATATGACCAGAGTGTTAGATTTTTGGCAATCATTTTGGCTTTGCCTAGACAGAAATCATTTTGGCTTTGCCTAGACTGAAATCATTTCTTGATATCTTGAAAAAATAATTTTTCAATTTCATGTGGACATGGTCTGTTTCAGGGCAGCTAGGATGAGAGAAGTTTTCAATGGGTTTGACAAGGACGGTAGTGGTGAAGTGGACAAAGCAGAGATGGACCAGGTGTTCAAGGAGATGGGAAAACATCTCTCTGAAGCTGAAATCGCGCGTATGATACAGCTGGCTGATACAGACGGGAGCGGCACCTTAAACATCAGCGAGCTCATCAAGCACTGTTTCGGTGTGGACATGTAAACATAGATTTTGCACTTGGAGATTAGATTGCATGGAGATTTGAACAATCATTTTGTATCGACATCCGTGCTTTCGGACAGTTAGTCTAAGAATTTTTATATAACTTTATATTATAAATATGTATATCTTATTATGGACCCATTTTATCAAGTACAAATGCACTGATTTAACTGGATGAATTTCAGAGAGTGGTCTACGACCAAGTCCTAGGGTCATCTAGTCTAGATACGTAGTATCCGACTATCTAAGATCCAGTACATTTACAATTGTGTCGTAGGGTTCTTATCGAATATAGATGGCGGGCACGTCAATGACTCAAAGACGCTATTATGAGAAAGAAATATATATTAATAAAAAGACCAGGTCCGTAGCCAGGTGTATTTCGCCCTGTGCCAATATTCTTTCAAAATCATGCAGCGCCATTCGAGTGACTTTGAGCCAACATATTAATGTGACCCCCCCCCCCGAAGCCCATCTTCATCCTTGGCAAAAGCTGTCTTCTGGTCTGAAAACATTTTTTTGTATCTAAGACGACATGTGTTACTTTAGTATATTATGCTACCTTTTCTTTTTCCGAGATACATGATCTGTTAACAAGTTTTATAAAACCGTGGACTATTCCAGAGAAAAAGGAAATAATTCATTCTATCATATGTTAATTATCTCAGTAAATTATAGCTAATATTATTGTCGAAGCCTTGACTTTAATTTTTAAAATAACTCAATGGTGTACGTCAATGACTCGTGTCATATTGATAAATCATGGTGACGGATGGTTTTCAGAACAATATCTTTATTTTATTAGAAATGTGTCATTGAAAACATCCTTGTACATTAATAAAAGTCTTTCAACGGTGTCAACATAAACTATAATAAACAGTAAATAGAATTGAGTTTTGTTATTTGATAATGTAGGCAGATATCTGAAATACAGAGTGGTCTGTTATATGTGAACACGCACTATCAGAAATTACGTTGGCAAAATTGTGGTTTCTGTATATAAAATAAGCAATTAACATGCAAAATGTCACCACATGTCATTTGTAAGACTCCGACCTCCGAATGCCAAACACAAACCGCCACAAACATATTGGAGACTATTCCAATATGTCAACACCATTTCTGGTTGTGACATAATAAACAGTACCGTGAAAGCAGAGTTAAGCTTAATGTAAAGGAAAACGCCTCCTAAAGTAAAAAAAGCTAGAAGAAAATCTTTAACTGAAAACGCAGATCAAGGAAATAGCACCAACTATCTAGCAAAATTAGCCCACACATTAAATTTTTCATCTATTTTTGAAAAAACACTTATGGAAAATGATCAGTTCCACTGGGGCACCCTCCATCTAAATCAGGTATAGATCTAAAGCCCCGAAACCTGAGGAGGCCGGAGTACTACTGATGATGTAGACGGCTACTGAAACAGAACTCGACTACTTGTCTTTGGGCTTGTTCAACAAGTTCTACTTGCAGAGAGTAGCAGAGCATGTTTATGTTTACCTAAATGGCTATGGAGAATCAGGTTGATGAAATCTCTCCCGATATTATCTCTTGGTCTATTTGAATGAATCTGTTTTGAAATAATTTTCAATGCAAAAGGCCCTTTCTTCAATCAACCGCTGCAACGCAGTTTATAATGACAGGAAGCTTTCTCTTGGATAGGACGTTCCAAAGTGCTGTAATATAAATGTGTTTGGATTAGTAGTTTTTTTGCAAAAATGCAGGGTTTCCATTTTTGACCACCTGCATGATAAGCTGACTTGCTTACCAGGTGGATTTTAAGAAAGCCATGTCCTAACTTACATTGGCATGTCTCCACGGAAAAAATGATGTCTCTATATCCTCAAGTCATTGATGCTATGCAAATATTGTTTTATGCATTGAGCACTCTACATCGAACATTGGACATCTACGCGGAAACATCATGAAGATTCCTTAAGAGTTCAGTTATTTCAACATATGAGGGTAACGTTTTTGTGGACAACCTATTACACTACTTCTACTACTATTATGCTACTTCTTTACGAGTAAATTAATAGAATAATGTCATGCCATGACCCGTTTATGCCATACGCATACCTGCCAACCTACCGTATTTTTACGGGAATCTACCGTAAATGTTTTGTTTTTCCGTAAAAAAATGACGAACTACCGTAAAAGAATACCATTTTTTGCCCGTAAAAAAGCCCGTAAAAAATCTACCGTATTTTTTTGTAATCTACCGTAAATTTTCTTTTTAAAAAACTCGTTTATTCCATGAGAACGGCCGTAAAATCTACCGTAATTTTTTGAAAATCTACCGTAAATTTTTGAAAATCTACTGTAAATTTTCGAAAATCTACCGTATTTCTGCTAAAATCAACAGTATTTTTGTTCAAACTACCGTAAAATTTCCCGTTATTGTCGGGAAATGCTGAAAAATTGAAGTCTTCCTGTACTGTCCCTGTAATATTCCTTCACCAACCCGAATATAAATAGGTATCGGCAGGTCTGTGGTTATCAGGTTATTGTGCATTTATCTAAGTAACCTTGCGTGTAATCAGTCCAAACACCAACTACCACTAGCTAGAAAGAATTCTTTCTGACATGAAATATGCGTAGTTTGACATATACATTATACATAGTTTAATCAATTTGTTTACAGTACGATAAAATGTATTTTTCATCAGAACACATTATCACGCGGTACTAACTCACCGGGGCGTATCGAAACCAAAACGCCCCGCAAAACCGTTAATTTGAATTTTAAACCTACCCTTTCTTTGGAAAATCAATGATTGTGAGTCTCACAGTACACCGTTTTTCTTCAAACATGTTCCATTAAAACCTTCACAGAAATACCTTTCACTCGGTACATTGTTTTTGTGTACAGAGTCGCTCGTTTTAGCGGCGTTTTGGTCCCCAGATGTGAGAAGATGCAAATCTTCAGAGATTTCAACCAAAAGCCTCGATATATCGCCAGTTCTTTCAATATTCTCCCCTATATTTTGCAGAAGGACTCTCATTACAACCCTCCATCTCTGCATCAACATACTTTTTACATTAAACGCAGCAATTTCCAAAAGCCCTACGCATCTGTTCGAAATTGATCAAAACGCCCCGTTCTCTTCCAAATCGCCCCGTTGGATATATACACCTTGAAACTACACGTTTGTAGTCATAGACTCTGCGGGGCGTTTTGGAAGACAACGGGGCGTTTTGGTCAATTTCGAACAGTTGCGTAGGACTTTTCAGAATTGCTGCGTTTCATGTAATAAACATGTTGATGCAGCGATGGAGGCTTTTAATGGCAGTCCTTGCGCAGAATATGGGGGAGAGTGATAGAAGAACTGGCGAGATATCAAGGATTGTGGTTGAAATCTCTGAGAATTTGCAACTTCTCACATCTTGGGACCAAAACGCCGCTAAAACGAGGGACTTTGTAAACAAAAGCAATGTCTCGACTGAAAGGTATTTCTGTGAAAGTTTTAATGGAACAAGTTTGAAGAAAAACGGTGTAGTGTGAGACTCACAGTCATTTATTTTCCAAAGACAGGGTAGATTTGAAATTCAAATTAACGGTTTTGCAGGGTGTTTTGGTTTCGATACGCCCCGGTGAGTTAGTACCGCGTGATTATATCAGTAACAAATACATAATCAAAAAATAAAGCATTGAGTTCTGGTTTATTGTAAAAGTATTGTGATATCCGAATCTGAATGATGTCTCAGGGGAAAGGTTTCAGCAAATGCTCATAACAGATTATTTTTGAAAGACAATTGATCTGTGCTTATTTTCTATTTGTGCCAGACAAACACATTGATGTTGTTAGAGACTTGCGAGTGAACAAATCAATATTTAATACCATATGATTCCAATGTTATATGAACATTATGTCTGTCATTTCAATTCGTTAAAGTGATAGATCATCTAAGATGGTGAGTAAAAACGTAATCCATATTTTGTATTTCAGTAAATGTTTTATTCATTGTATTTCCAAACATCCTGATATCTAAAAAAACTGGTTAGAAGGTGAATAAAAGTGGAGATATGAATATTGTGTTCGTATTTTGAATCAATCTAGATTTATTGTAAAAGAGTTGTAAAAGAGTTGTATTCATATACATGTACATTTTGCTGAAACATTAACCACTAGGCCGGCTTGGCCTAGTGGTTAAGGCATTGGTCTGAAAAGCAGGAAGTCTGGCTACAGGCTGAAAAGTAGAGGTCTTGGGTTCAAACCCAGGTCACAGCACTTCTTGTGATATGTCTTTGACCTATGACTGCTGACCTATACCGGCGATTACTAGAGTGCTGCTAACTCGATAAAAGGCTGGCGCTGGCTAGAATTGTCTATGGTTCTAGCCAGGATAAAGATACCAGTTCTTCAACTCGACAATGGCACGATGCCCATGTCAAGCAGCGTGCCTACTAGGCACGCAGTTTGAAACTCTGACAAACTGCGCGCATATTTCAAAATGTGAGACGGGGAGGACACGACTCCCAAAAAGAGCCAAAATACAAAAAATACAAGGTTAGTCTCGTCTTAAAGATAGTACAATTCTGTGAAGATGAACTTAATTTACTCATAGTACTCAATGTTTTTCCCGATGTAAACCTAGTTATCTCAATATAAGGGTCTTAAGTAACTTCTGTGTTCAAAATTTACAGTGTAAAGTTATATCTATGTCTTTTTATCGTCATTTGCCGTTTATTCAGCCATTGTGTCTGTGTATGCTAGAATATATAGGTTCACTCCATTTGATTAAATCAGCAAAGTTTGTGTTCAAAACGATAATACGCCATAAACGTGATTTAAACATTTTTCTTGTCAAACTGCGCGCCTATATTCACATGTACCGTATTTCCCAAACTGCGTGCCTTATATTTCCAAACTGCTTGCTTATCCAAGCTTGTTTTGTATTATTAGAAAACATAAGCGCCATACAAGGCACATATGTGTCTAATAGTAGAACCCCATAATTGAAACACTATGAGAGTTCATCCACCAAGATGGTGATCTGAAAATAAAAGTTTTTTCGTTCCCAACTTAATTGTCACTTCTATTATACATTTTGACTTTCAATATGAAAATCTCTTAAATCTGACGATAAAACAAAATTTCCAAAGCTATATGAAAAACACCTACACGTGCCTCTGTAGAAATTCCAATGATAATATGTAGTTTTAATAGTGTATGCGCACAGTTTGTAATTTCTGGCTAAAATAGGCGCGCAGTTTGTGATTTATTTCTTTTAAATCTCCTGATTATCTGTTTTATCTCGAAATATTTTGAAATACACATGACAAATGTGTAAGCAATTAAATATAAAACGAGTCTAAAGTATTTGTCATTGATGTTTAAAGTGCTAGATCGATTTACGTATAAATTCCCGTTAAATCAGTGACGAAAATGCCATTAATCTGCTTATGTTTTAAAACATTTGCACATAGTTTTTGCTAGTATTTGCAAGATTCGTATATTCGCCACAGAATGAACGCATTGAACAAGAAAACAATGCAGGATAAATGTCTTTAAATTACGTTTCAAAATACAGACTCCAACTTAAATGATGCAATGTTGTTAGGCACGCAGTTTGTGATCGAAACAAACTGCGCGCCTAAGTAGGCGCGCAGCTTGACATGGGCACCGTGAATGGGAAGAACTGCTCTACCTTAGTGACTAATATGTCATGATATGACATCTAAAGAGTCAATAAAAAATATATTAAATATAGAAAACCGCATTGTATAAAGGTTTAACTACCGCATTTTTCAAAATCTACCGAAAAATACCGCATGTTGGCAAGTCTTCCGCAAAAGTACCAGTTTCTCAAAAAACTACCGTAAAACTACCGCATTTTTTCAAAATCTACCGTAAAACTACCGCATTTTTTCAGAATATTTCGCAAAAGTACCGGTTTTTCAAAAAACTACCGTAAAAACTACCGCATTTTTTAATCTACCGTAAAACTACCGCATTTTTTTCTAAATCTTTCGCAAAACTACCGCTGTTTTCAAATTTTACCGCAAAATTACACTTTTTTCAAAAATCTACCCCAAACCTCTGAAACTACAGTATTTTTTTAAAATCTACCGCAAAAACTACCGTATTTTTTAAATCTACCGCAAAAACTACCGTTTTTTTAAATCTACCGCAAAAACTACCATTTTTTCTAAAATCTACCGCAAAAATACCGCAATTTTGTTGAAAAATACCGCAAAAACTACCGTATTTTGAATAAATCTACCGCAAAAATACAGCATTTTAAAAAAAATCTACCGCAAAATTTTGGTCTTAGGTTGGCAGGTATGATACGTCTTATTTGTCCCGAGTACTATTTACAAATAAATGCAAATGGCTGACACCTGTCAATGTTATCATATATGCTAACATCTAGATCTTATTATGTCAGCATTGAGCTTGGAAGAAAAAACTATTACGTGCAATTCTACCGTACTTTAACTCAGGTCTATTGTTATTTCACTCATGCGATCAACTTTGTTGAGATGGGTAAAGTAGGACACCCTGTAACACATCATTCTAATAAATTCATAAATGAATTTACTTTAGAATAGCGAATCAATTATCGTATTTACATATTTATGATTGCCTATTGATGACAAGTCTATATAAGTGCCATTAAAACTGTAAAGTCACTTTCAAATTAGCAAGACTAATTGAAATCTACGATACAATGAAATTACTAGCAATCGCCGCTCTTTGCGTTGCGCACTTCTTCGTTCAGTGTAAAGGTAAGGATTTTTGATATTTGTTTGAGTTGAATTCTTATAAAATCTCTTCGAGAAAAATGATGGACTACCTTAGAGGAAAACAATTCCAAAACGTTTTCATTTTTTAATTCACAAACACAAGCAATATACAACTCAGAATCAACAAGAATCCACAAGAACATTAAAAAGAAATATCAGATCATGAATAACTGAATGAAAAATGAATAGCAACACTGGAACAGACAGGATTTTGCTCGATTGAGATTTTTGTAAATAAGCCCATAACAGTGGTGCAAAAGTCCGGTCGTTTACAGTTGTTTATATTCATTTGTTTATGGAATAGCGACTGTGCAATAGCATATTACATGTATATTTATAAAAACTACGGATGAGGCAGTGAAGATGTAGGTCGATCAAACATTTTATAGCTTATTTTTTAGGTTTGATAGATTTATATTTTCCTTGCCTCACTTAATTGCACGATATTTTGTTGGGAAGCGAGTATATACGTGTTATTAAAAACAGGAAAGTCATTTTCAAATGGTCAGTCTAATTGAAATCTACGTTACATGTGCAATGCCATTACTAGCAACGCCGCTGTTTGCGTTGCGTAACTTTGCATTGGATGCCAAGGTAAGGACTTTTAACAACTGAACTATGTCACACTTTTTAAATCCGCTGATGACAAGTCAGAAATAAATACGAATAACTACTATGTTTTTACTTATTAACACAAATACTCGAAATTTTGCTGCATCAAAAACTGAAAAACACATTTCGACCCATTCTGTATATTTTACTCGGTATATAAAGTGTATTAAACCAATAGACAAAATCTCTAAATACACAACCCTCGTATTATTTCCTCGACAGGTGATCCCATCGACTGCAGAACTATATTCTGTGCCCTAGGCTTTCCCGTGTGTGCTGATGGTTCTAAGCCTATCGAAATACCAAACGGATGCTGTCCAAATTATAGATGCCCGAAACCAAAACGTAAGTAATACTATAGGACAAATATTTTGTTGTCGTAATTGAAAATATTTTTTATAGCGATTAAATGAACAATTTCAATAAACAGATGATATTTGTATGTATGTTAGGAGTAACTGGTCAGCCGGAGAGACGTTACTGCATCAACGCAAATATAAAAAGAATTACTCAAAACCCATTAAACGAAATTCAATCTAAAAAATGGCGGAAAAAGAAGCCATTTTGAAAACATGTCATCTGAGACGTCCTACATATTGAAAGAAAACAATTTTAGTTCAAAAAATTATGGCCATCAACTCAGATGGCCATTTTGGCGAAAGAAAACAAAGCCATGGTATTATTTCGTTTAAAGAAGTACCTCATTTTAAGTAGTATTGCAAAAATCTATTGGGTCTGGATTATAACCTACAAAGCGTTTACATTTTTAGATACTAACCAACTCAATGAATTGGTATTTGCGTTGTGATATCAGATTGGCGGCCATTTTGAATCGAGGGGCCATTTTCACTCCAGAAATTCACGATTAAAGAAAACTCCAATGTCTACAATGCGCTAACCTATAAGTTTAGTCAAATCCGTTAACGAAAATTTGTATCAATGAAAGGACACAATGACACAAGAACACAAATGTGTACAAAATGTTCCCACCTATGGGTGATCCCGTCAAATGGTTATCCTAAAAATGGGTGGACAAGACTTTACCGACACAAGGTATGAGGTTCCATATCCATCCGCCAAAAGGTATGACCCCTATATAGTCCATTTAAAAACGCGTGGTATTGTTCTAAATAACGCCATAGTTGGCTTCTAGGGTACCTAGTATGCCACTATTTGGTATCAAAATAAAGAGGAGGAGTTCAACTTTCATTTGAATTACGAAAATAGCGATGTAGGTCAAAAATAGTTCCGACGTGAGCATGTTTACTACGCGTTTGCCCATCATATCAGAATTGAGGAAGTGGTAGCAAACGCGAGTCACAATAAATGGACGCTGATATCTCAAAAAGTAACCAGACTCCCTATAATTTGATGTAGATCAATCGAACCCCTATATGAACAGGTACATTTTGATATATAACACTATGGGGGGTAAGCGTTTTATAGTTGGTCACGAAGGCCATATGTGCAAAGTATTGTTATGAATTTTCGAATTTGGTGTTGGATTACGGTACTCATACCTTAATATGAGGCCTAAAATTGTCTGCTGATTGGCCAGAGACCAATATTCTAGCAGAATTTGAGAACAGAATCGATTTTTTCGTTCTGCGTAGGGCAAACAATGATTTGAAATCACTTTCAACCATTCTGTGAGTATAATAATGGTCATAAGAGGCCCGTGGAGGGTCTGGAATGAAAGAAAGCCCTCTGAAATTCCGTCAAAATTGCAGGTTATTTCTTCATTTTATGCTAAAATTACATGATTTCCAGGGCCCATATCTCAGTGAAATTGCTACAATGTAGCGATTTTTCATTTTTACAGGCTAGATACACGTGTCAGGTCGACAGAAACAGTAAGCATGTGTGATTTTTAAATTGCTACATTGTAGCAATATTTATTTCAAAATGCAGGTGTGAGCAAGGAGGATTGGCTCCCAGAGTGCAACATCGATATTCTGTCCCATATATGGAAATGTCTTGGTTCAAAATTTGAATTCAAACAGCCGCCATTTTGTTCACTTCAACATTTGAATCGTGAATTTTGATCTTATTCCAAAACGAAAAATTCCATAACTCACAAGAAATGATCGAGATATTGGTATGAATCTTTTGGACTGTTTATTTTGAATTTATAGTCGGTAATAAATTCAGAAAATAACGACATTTCGACGTTTTCATTGTTGGAAAATATCGATCGTCGATCCTGGGAGCCAATCCTCCTTGGGTGTGAGGGAAACTGCAATTTAGTTAGATTTGGTCGAAAATGGCCAAATTTCAGTCAAAATCCTCGGGACACAGGGCCTTTGTCTTAGATTTAGTCAATGATGCAACTCTTAGTAGAAGGTGTGCCATATAGGGAATGAAAGCTGTTTGTCAGACGTATCATATTCTTCAATAAACTCAGAGATAGTCAGGTTAGATTTGTGACGTCACAGTGGCAAAGTTAGACTAGCATATTTAGACGTATTTGGGGTAGGGCAAATTAACCCTTTCTAGCCTAAATGGATAAATTTTTCACATATTCAGCCAGTTCCGACGTTTTTATGCATTTTTGAACTAGAAATGATATTTTCTGCCAAAAAAAGTTGCAGAGACAAAAATCAGTGTGATGTCATAACACATTAAGGTATGAGGTTCCATATCCATCCGCCAAAAGGTATGAACAGGTACATTTTGATATATAACACTATGGGGGGTAAGCGTTTTATAGTTGGTCACGAAGGCCATATGTGCAAAGTATTGTTATGAATTTTCGAATTTGGTGTTGGATTACGGTACTCATACCACAATTTGAGGACGGAAAATCCAAAATGGCCACCTTAAAATTTACCCAGAATGCCCAAAAATTAGTCAGTTCTAGATTTTCATACTAAAAACCACCCCTGAAAATTTGAAATTGATCCGTCACACAGTTAACCAGAAAACATGTAAACAAGACTTTACAGACAAGATTTGAGGACAGAAAATCCAAAATGGCTGCCTTGACATTTATCCTGAATGCCAAAAAACTAATCAGATCTAGATTTTCATACTGAGAATCATCCCTGAAAATTTGAAATTGATCTACCAAACGGTTCACCTGAAAATGCGTAGACAAGATTTTACAGACAAGATTTTAGGACGGAAAATCCAAAATGGCTGCCTTGACATTTACCCAGAATGCCCAAAAACTAATCAGATCTAGATTTTCATACTAAAAATCATCCCTGAAAATTTGAAATTGATCTACCAAACGGTTCACCTGAAAATGCGTAGACAAGACTTTACAGACAAGATTTTAGGACGGAAAATCCAAAATGGCCGACAATAAAAAAGTGATTATGAGTTTCTGCTGATTTCTTTTTACAAAATTATCACATATAACTACTGTTAACAATAACATAGGCTTTTACAACAAAGTACACCTGAAATTATTTATAAAGCTACTAAATAGTTAAAGTATGAAAACTGAAAAACACCATTCAATATGATACAAAGTATTATCGTGCGCTAACTTTTCTTAAAACATTCAAAATGGCTGACATGACTGAGCTAACAGGTCCAAAACCTAATCAGATCTAGAATGAAGTGAGCTGAACAAGATGTTAAAGTTTTAAAAGCAACTGTGAAGCCGTTTTTCTTAAAGTTTGCAGACAAGGATTTTAGCATTTGACTTCAAAATGGCCGACAGGAAGTAGGTATCGAGTTAATTTTTTTTCATCCACATCTGTATGCACTCATAAGTTATCCCTGAAAATTTGAAGGTGATATCTGTAGCGGGTTTTGAGAAAACTGCCGGACGTACGGACGGACAGACAGACAGACAGACGGACGGACGCGCCTAGGCCGACAATATGGCCCCACACTATGTGGTGGGGACATAAAAACGATGAACAAAAGAACAAACGGACGTTCGACAGGAGAACTGATTGACGGTATAAATTGTTTCTCCTACTTACAGATTGCAAAAATGTATTTTGTCTGATACAAATCTTGTGCGCACCAGGCTATGAACCACACGTGCGCCCCAACAACTGTTGCCCTGATACCTGCAAAAGATCAAGTAAGAATTCAGTTTCGCAAATAGCAAAGATCAAGTAAGAATTCAGTTTCGCAAATGGCAAAGATTAAGTAAGAATTCAGTTTCGCAAATAGCAAAGATCAAGTAAGAATTCAGTTTCGAAAATAGCAAAGATCAAGTAAGAATTCAGTTTCGAAAATAGCAAAGATCAAGTAAGAATTCAGTTTCGCAAATAGCAAAGATTAAGAAAGAATTCAGTTTCGCAAATAGCAAAGATCAAGTAAGAATTCAGTTTCGAAAATAGCAAAGATCAAGTAAGAATTCAGTTTCGAAAATAGCAAAGATCAAGTAAGAATTCAGTTTCGCAAATAGCAAAGATCAAGTAAGAATTCAGTTTCGCAAATGGCAAAGATCAAGTAAGAATTCAGTTTCGCAAATGGCAAAGATCAAGTAAGAATTCAGTTTCGCAAATAGCAAAGATCAAGTAAGAATTCAGTTTCGAAAATAGCAAAGATCAAGTAAGAATTCAGTTTCGCAAATAGCAAAGATCAAGTAAGAATTCAGTTTCGCAAATAGGAAAGGTACTATCCCTATAAGATCATATCCCCAATATGTCTAATAGCCCATTTTATAAACTATTGTTTTCATTCTAAATTCAATCAGTAAATGTTATGTATTAATACACTAAGTTATTGAATGATTTGAAGTGCAATACAGGATATATTGTTCTCGAGAAATTCTGTATTTACCCTTTGCATTCGTTTGACTTCACTTCTTAAAAGAGAGCTTCGTAGTTTAACTAGACTCTGCACGCAGGGTATTCTGTATTGGTACGAGACGAACAATACAGAATATTGAGAGGACAATATTTCCTGTATTGCAGTTTCAAATCATTCTATAACGTTTTTATCCTGTGATTTTAGGCCTAGGAAATATTCTGACTTGCTCAAAAACCATTAATCCAATGTAGACACTTAAGTTTCATTAATGAAATCTGTATTACTACTGAGATTTCCCTTCAGTACAAATATTTTCTGTATTGATACGGTGACGATCAATTAAATTCCGTACCAATACAAGGTGACAGGTCTCAATACAGATTGGTACATCACGAGAACTGACCAATCAGAGGGCTTCATTTTACAGATCATAAGATAATAAAAGTTATTCCATGATTCGAGTAAAATACAGAAAATATTCTTCCCGAGGAGACTTCGTCTCGTTCCAATACGGAATTTCTCGAGCAGAATATATCTTGTATTGTACTTCAAATCATTCAATAACTAATATTATTCCATGATGGTGAAATTCCCTGCAATCTGATTGGTCCATGTGACTTAAATATATCCTGTATTTACACGCACTTTCCACTAAGCATTGAATACAGAGTGAAAATGACGTCAGCGTTGGGATACGGTCCAGTATCCCAACGCCCCAGATTTCCATCCAGGATATGACTATTACTGAAAAAATCAATGGCGATCTGTTTACACCAACGCATGCTAATATTTGCATTTTGCTAGAAATATCTGATTTGAATATCAGGAAATGATACGGTGATCACCACAATTTATTATTTTAGGATAAAAAACACTCATCTGTAATTATAAAAAATCAGTATGAAGCATGCACATTGTTTTCATGAACTAGTAAAAATCCAATATGGCAGACGAAAGTCGAAAAAACGTTTCGTTACACTGTTCCAGCTGATGAAATTGAAGAAAAATCTTGAAGAAAAATATAAAAGTATCGTATAATACAATAAAAGCAAAACCGAAAAGGCCGAAAAGATTTTGAAGGAATATCGATGTAAAATATTTTTGAGGTGAGAAGGTTGATCTGTTTCTCCGGTCCCAAGCAAAGGAAATGGACTTGATTTAGGGGAGTTCTATCTGAGTAATCATGGAATAAAAACGTTATCCAATGATTTCTCGTGAAATACAGAAAATATTCTTCCCTCGAACGTCTGTATTTCACTCTGCTAGCGCATCGTGAAATACGACCTTCTCGGGAAGAGTTTTTTCTGTATTTCACTCGAATCATTGAATAACTTATAGTATTGCTACTGAGATTGTCCCCATTGATCATTTTCGTAGCAAAAATTTAAATATTGGTACGGAGGGGACAATCTCAGTAGCACTACAGAGAATACAGAATATTTTAGGGACTATCTCCTGAGTAAAATGTAGTGGTAAATAAGTAAATGTAGTAAATAAAAACGATATAGAATGATTTGAAGTGCAATACAGGATATATTGCGCTCTCGATCTTCTGTATTTGCACTCGATTTCGTCGAGTGATCTATAAGTAACAATTACTTTTACTGGGTAAGGTATTTTTTCAAACTTTCAGAATTTTCAGAATAGAAAGTTTTTGTGTTATTTAAATGTTGCATATATTCGCTTTCTGCTTGTAGAGTGCTCTGGCGTAATGTGCCCACTTATAAAGTGTTTGTCTGGCTACACGTTACAGAATATACCGGGACAATGTTGTGAAACCTGCGTAAAAGACAATACAAAACCAACAAGTATAAAAACATATTAGAAACGTTTCAAAAACGTTCGACTATAATTATATGTTCCAGCTATTTATAACACCGTGTACTATTATTATATATTATCTAGAGTACCATCCACAAATATTTATATAGGCCTATTATTTTAAAGAGCCACTTAGTTTCTTTTTAGCAAATTTATATTCTAATTTAGCTATTATACTTATCTATTCAAATGTTTAGTTTGAGAAATGCATTAATTGTTGTTTTGTACTTCTAATACCTCAGTCACAGAGTCGCGTTCTAAAACGTTGAAGGTCAAATGCAAGCACCCTATCATTTCCACAGCCACATGCAATAGTCACATATATGCTAAGGTAACCGCACGGTGTGACATAGAGAGAGAAATCCTTTGGCTGCTGCCGCATGGCTTACAAATACCAAGACAGACGCAGTGTGGCTGCAAGTGGTTGGCTTACCCGCCCAAAGTATGCACGCGTTTTTACGTGTATGAAGGCGTTAATTACGCTCGTGCAGATGTAAAATTACGCCCGTGCAGACGTAAAACAACGCCTGTGTAGGCGTAAATTACGCACGTGAAGAAGTAAATTCTACGGGCGTTCAGACAACATTTACGGGGGTAAACTTACGGCGTTAAAATGATTAATTACAGGTGTTAAGACGGTTATTTTACACGCGTTGAGAAAAATCTTCACGCCAGTCGAGTTTATTTTTAGCGCCGTAAATTATGAACCAATCAGCACCTTGCTTACATAATTATTCAATGCATCCTTGCTAAAAGAGCAACACCAAGATACTTGCGCAACTAAATAACAATCAGAAACCCGCATATCAAAAATATTTACAGCAAATTAAAAAGCAAATTGAAGATACTGTGTCGGCAATTATCAACACCCATTGTAGAAACGACAAAATTGCAGTATATTTTGAGAAAGTATATATGTTTGGTTTCTTAAGGAAACGACCAATATCAGTGTAATATTGGCAATATTAATGCCGATCGTCAGTGTAAGAAAAGCGAGGGACTAAATACGTGAATTGTGTCTTTGTTAACATATAAAACCTGAAACCATCGACACATTCTCAAACTAGACTATGTTCCTTAACTTCGAGCCAAATTATTATCCACACCGTGACTTATAAGTAGGTGTAAATCGGGAAATAAAAAAGTCTTACCGAAACCTAGTCCCGGAGGAAGTTCCGCCATGATACACCGACGATACGTCTGTGTAATTAGGTGGGTAGCAGTGCATATGTGGCTCTCAAGGATTGTCCCGCTGATTATTTCTTCAAGATGACATTTTCGTATGCATACCCTACTGTTGGATTTAAGAACGCTTCCCAAAAACAGGCTGAGGTATCTAACATGGACGAATCCTGCATGGCCCTTTGTTTTATTGCACTTGTCTTTCATAAATGAGTTATTGTCATTTAAGTTCTGATTGTACAGGTTGTGCTGCCATCCTTTGTATCACGCCAGTTTGTGAAGATGGGTATTCCTTGAGGAAGTTGGGCAATCAGTGCTGTGACACGTGCATCAAAAATAACGGTAGGCTCTAAAGAATTTTTTATTTTGTTAGGTTATTTAGTATTTTTTTAAGCCAAGGAGGATTGGCAGCCAGAATGCATCAATACTCCCTAACAAAGCTAGCGTCAGTTCCGGAGTCATATTTCTCACTTCAAAATTTGAATCGCAAGTTTTGGTCTTATTGCCAAACAAAAAAATCAAAACACACAAGAAACGATCAAAATAATAAGTGGCTTAATCAATGGTCATTAGTTGCTGATTAATGCTGATTGTGAATTTATAGCCAGGTAAATATCAGGAGGAGTGAGTAGCTCCCATAATTCTTTCATATTCTATCGTATTCGGGGATTCCCCATTACATCATCTCTTGCATCATCTCCAATCAAATTGCAGGATTCGATCACGTGAACAATCATGAGCGTGCTCTCTCAGTGCTGCGCATGCGCAAAGTTAAATTTGAAATCGTGGGAATGGCGTTAACATCAGCTCAACATCATCATTTCAAACCTACGGTAATACTATTGAAGTTACTCGATCCATACTTGTAGAGAATACTCATAAAACTACAGTGAACATTTGGAGATCCATTTCAACGGCAAATTGAGGCCTGTTTATAAAATTGGTTTTCGAACGTACTAATATGATCAAGGGCGTTACAATACCCGGGAATTTATCGGTTCGTCCAGTACTTGTTTGTGATAGCGCCCTCTGTAGGTCACTGTGCTTATAGCCTACAGTAATACGGGGTAGGATATCGGGAATTCGGTCAGTTTCTATCCGTCGATTTCGCTATGAATTGAAGCAAGTGTGACCATTTTATCCACTTTAACAATTTCATAATTGATTAAATCTTTAAACAAAATCGATAAACACGTTATACACTTCCTATCTCCTTAGAAATTAGCATGTATTTATGGATTGTGTTTTCGAACAAGGCTCGACCCACACCAATAGGGAAATCCTTATGCTAATTAGTATGACGTCATATTTTCCTGGGGAATCCTAGATTTCAAAGCCTCAGTCTGTTATTGTGTCAAATGTAAACGCTCTTGGGACGCTCTTTTGCAGACAGAAAATTGACAGATTAGCTTTTAACTTTCAGCTTTGATGTTTAAATATTCTGTATTTCTACCGGACTTCTTGCTGAATATCATATGATGTTATAACTTGATTTGGACCATTGCCTGATTGATCATTCTGAAATTTTGATTGTGATTCATGATTGATTGGCAAGAAAAATGATTCCTAGTGTTTTCCAGCGAAGTCAAAATGTTACAGCATGAGTTATAATGTCGAGTTTGCATCATGTTAAATTCTGCTAGTGATTAGAAGTCCATGCACAAGCATACACATAAGAGACAAACACACCCAGGCTCCAGGCCGTGGATGGAAATATAAAACTATTTAAGGCACAAACTGGTATTAATAGACCGATATGTAGTGTCTGCCATGTATTGAAGGTAAACCAATCTGCATTATTAATGTTTCTTCTATCAATACATGGATTGTGCAATAGAAAAGCAATGGCACAATCAAAAATGTGCATATCAATCGTGAATATCTCTCGGTTCAAAGCTTATTTCCAACAGAATCGTGTCAAAATATGTGTCTGAGTAACAGTTATACATTATAAGATCGCAAACTCTTACCAATTATCAGCCGAATGGCTCATTTTCAACGAAATGTCCTTAAGACAACAGCCCTGGGTCGCGCCTGAGACCAAAAACTACTTCAAATAGCCCTCCCCTAATTATATTTGATAATCACATTTATGCGTGCGCGCGCAGCTCATCCAATGAACGAAACGCCACTTCCCGCTGAAATCACCGGGTATTGATCTTTCCCTTGATATGATAGGGCATCTTTGGGAAATCTCCCCCCCTGGTAAATATCGACAATAGTGTAATGACGCCAGCTTTGTTGGAGAATATCGTTAATTCTCCGTGCAGCCGGAGAAATATACAGGCATGATCGGCAATATCGCATTACTTGGAGATTAAAGAGTATCGAGTTGGAACTCTGGCTTCCAATCCTCCTTGTTTTAAGCCAAGGAGTTGATTCACTTGGTAAAATGAGTGAAAGAACGTGGTACCCTTTACATGACAGCTTTATCCCTAAAAGTTTTGAAGAAACTCCAATGGCATATAATTGGTTTTAATGTTCTGTTCATGGTTATCAAGTGGTATCGGCCGCCAGAGGAAACAATCCAGAATTCAAAGATGAATCTATCTCAAAGATCACAATTCGTATGTTTTATCTTTGTAATTGTAAAGGGGAACCCGGATGTTCATATTTACAAGATATGTTCATGTATGGATTATATATTCACTGGCGGACACCCCCTTCCGTTGGACCCAGAAAAAAACTTGGGTCCAAAAGTTTAGAAGGGCGTCAATAAGTGTTTTTGGGCCTACTTAGCCTTTTTGGCCTTTTAAAAAATTGGGCCTTAAATTTACGTGAGCCTCCCGTGTCATTATCTGGATCCGCCAGTGTATAATATCATTCCTTCGCTTATTGCACCCCACCCCTTGTCTGTTTGTTACGAAAAGAGGCTTTATTAAGGCCACAGGCCATTCTTGACATGTTCGTTATACTTGTACTTCAGAACCCGACTGTTCGTTAGTGAAATGTGGTAGCTGTGAGGACGGATCATCTCCAATCGTAAGCGGACAGGATTGTTGTAAATGTCCCGGAAGTGGGTAACATGAAGACATCAGTGTCATGAAGAAAATGCATACTATGGTTAATATAATCGACATATTGAACATCATTGTTGAACATCATCGTAGGACTCTTGACAAAATTAATTTTTCAATTTTGAGTAATAAAAATGATGTAGTCAAACCATACAAGAGACTCCTTCTTAAGTTTATCACGTAGTAGAGCTATGTCTAGAAGTGGGGGAAGGGTTGCCTGTGAGTGATGTGCCGAGTTCAGTATTTTTTTTGACGGCTCTCTCATCTGAACGGGCTGGTTAAGCTGAGTGCTTCTCGTGTACTGGCTAGATTTTCTGCTTTAAAAACAAAAATACAGGTTACTGTATAATGTAATTCACGTTGCCGTTCATAAGCGGTTGATTCATATCGTTGGGTCGTGACGTCCATAGATGATTTATCAGATTTATCATATTTCTATGTCATACAAGTTCGATATGATTGAAATTGTCAAGTCGTATGTCCACGGCTTAGCCATTTTATTCAAATCGACAGTAGTGTGTACAGGAAACAGAGAAAATTTACAAAATGTGTCAAAGAGAATTATTTAACTTAAAACCCACACTGACTATCATGAAAGGTAAATGATTCATGATTCATTTAAGCTTACACTGTACTATTCAACAGTAGTTTGATTTCTTTTGTATGGACTATTCAACTATTGATACTAGAGGTATTTGAGTTGATGAGTGAGTGAGTGAATGAGAGTAGTGTTTTATTAGTTCAGTTTCAGTACACTGCAGTTTAATACTTTAGTAATAAGTAATATTGAAGAAAAAATAGTTATTAGAAAATAGTGTATATTAATTATAAAAACGTTCAAGTATGACGTATCTAATCACTCAGTAAGTTTGAGAAATATAATTTGATAGTACACGAGACTTTCGCTTATTATGCGAGTTTTACGAATGATGTTGCGAGTTTCGCATCGTTCTGTTCGAATATCACATCATATGGTTCGACTTTCCTCACATTGTGGTGTATTTTAGAGAAAAAATCCATAATTCTAATTCATATGTACGTTACACGTATTTCAATAAACTGTATGACTTTTAATTTCCTGCATCTAGTTGTCAGCTGGAGAAAATTATCAGCAATGCATCATATGACATTAGAAATTTAATGTTCTACAATACTTCAATTGTTTAACACATTCGGCCTCTATTCAGATATCAAGGTATCGTCTTTTATCTAAAATGTGTGCAACCCGAAGTGGGCTCATGCTAGCAGACTTAACGTCGAATGTCATGGTAAGGACTTGATAATTGATAAGTAATTATCAATTATCAAGTTATCAATTATCAATTACCTCGTGGGCAATCCCTTTTCAATTTCAATTTCGTATTTCATTTCGCTTTTATTTATCAAGACAAGGTGTTTCGTTATGTAATTGTTTCATTTCTGTTTTTTACATTACATATCATGGATAACAAAAAAGGAAAACAAAATATTCACAGCTGTTAATGACAGTGTTTTGCTTTGAATTTTATGTATTTTTGTTATTATATGAATTGTAAAACAATATTAATGATTATCTATCGATGAACGATGTAGTGATACTTCCTTTCAAATTAGCTAGTCTAATTGAAATCTAGGTATTTGAAAGCTAGCTGATGAACAATGAAATTGTTAGCGATCGTTGCTGTTTGCATTGCCTATTTCTGCATCGAATGTCAAGGTAAGAACTTTGAATAATTGGTGAGTTTAGTAAGCATAAGCTCTTATGTTTAGTTTTATTCTCATAGTGGAATCAATTGGTGCAAGGCCCCCATAGGGACCTTGCGTTTTCATACTAAAGTTTGTTTTGGAGTTTTTTCTTATTGTTCCATGTATTTCAAGACATTTAAGAGACAGGGCGCTTTTTCTAAAGCCCTTTTTAGAAAAATAATTGAGATTACAGAGGATACCCGTTATTACTGCTTTTTAACACAATGTTTACAGAAAATTCCAAATTCAAACTCCTTATCCCACTATAATTCACCAATGGAGAATGGGAGTTGAGCAACCAAACTTGGCACAAAGTTGGAACCTAAGATAAGCTCTAATCTGAGGTGTTTGATCTTTTGTGAAATCATATATTTGCCTAGCAACCACATAGCAACCGCCCAAAATAACATATTTTACAATATAAATCCACTTAATATATGCTAAGATGCTATAAGACCATTACAAAAAGTCTTCTTATGCTAAAATACAACAATTCTAACATATTTACAGAAGTGACATTACCATGTTGCATAGCAACAACATGGCAATAGGTTGCAATGCCCATTTTTACATTTGCACACCATATTCCTATTATATGCTCACTTGTATGCTTTTGAATCCCTTCCACATTATTTCTTAATATACAGAAATTGTATTTAAGCATAAATGATGCAGTTATGCCTGACCATTTTCCCTAGCAACGGCTTGAAATATTGGTTAAATTTGCCTAGCAATGAATTAGCAACAGCTTAAAATAGCAATGTTTCTCATAAAGATCTCACTATATATCCACTATTATGTACTTGAAGAAAATTAATAATGTATGTCTTTTAATTTATAAAGCTTTGTTGCTGCAGACTCAGAAATCTGTAGTCTCTTGTGTAAAGCATGATGGGACATTTTTTGTCTTATTTCTTATAAAATTGCAAAAGTCCTGCTATTCATGTTTCAGTTCTGAGATAAAGTAAACACAAAATATTCATCGTATTTATCCTTGTTACATTTTCAGCATTGATACCCCTAAGATAATAAGATAATACTTTATTTGGGTTAATTGCTACAATTTCCTTTGCAGTTGCAGTTTCAGTGCAGTAGAATGCACCATGGCATTTGCAGTTTCCTTTGCAGTCACATTTGGTGCATTCACATTTGATTATGACTTTACATGCCTCGGATGCTTGCGACAGTATTGTCCATCTGGGTACCCACAATCCCGATGCACTCCTAAACCATACCCATAGGTTTGGTGAAGGAAGAACTGGATCCTCTATATACCATTGCCCCCATACATGTGCTCCTTGGAGAGCTGCTCGCATGACATGATAGAGTGCTGCATCTCATGTTGGAGGTACTTTATCGGGATCAATCTGTCATGAGTGGACATGAGTGTTACGGTTGATGGGCGATCTGCTAGAGTCAAAAGGACATCTGTTAGATCATTACATAAGTTCCATTGCTTAAAAACTGTCCCTTGCTCTGATGGTAAAGTCCAGATGTGGTATCAGTTCCAGTATGGGCATGGAACATTGGCAGCACACATGATCTTTGTGGTTCTAGTGCTCTAGCAATCTCATGAACTGGAATGTACCTATTCGTTTTGCATTTTGAAAATGTTACATAGACCTCAATATGTAGCTCAGAGGCACAGGCTAAGGCTATCACAAGAACATTACTGTCCACTGATCTTATCATAAATGTCCTGCAACCTTTTCCCACACCATGAGACACATGCAAAAACATATATGTATCTGCCTCATGACATTGTTAATTTTCCACATTTGGATAGTAATATTCCACTGAACCCAGCATATGGGCCTTATGTATTCCAACAATTCAAAATACTAGGATATAGATTTTAAATCAAGACACCATATTTTACTGATTAAATCGTTAGGTCAGGGTTGTACTTGTTAAAAGCTGAAAATCCTATCTGGACTTTGCTGAAACATACAAGTCATTAATTTTAAAGGTTTAAGTTTTTCAAGAAAGTCTTGCCAATTGCTTGGTAGTTTGGTGTTAGGATAGGATTTCTCAGAAACAATGACAACATGTGTCTCATGGTGTCGGAAAAGGTTGCAGGACATTTATGATAAGATCGGTGGACGGTAATGTTTTGATAGCCTAATAGCCTGTACCTCTGAGCTGCAGATTGAGATCTATGTAGCATTTTCAAAAGGCAAAACTAACGCTACATTCCAATTTATGAATTTGCTTGAGCACTAGGACCACAAGGATCATGTGTGCTGCCAATGTTCCACGGCCATACTGGATCTGATACCACATCTGGATTTTACCATCACAGCAAGGTGACAGTTTTCAAGCAATGGAACTTATGTAATGATCTTACAGGTGCCATTTGGACAAGAAGCACGTGTATGGGGGCAATGGTATATAGTGGATCCAGTATCAATGCTGAAAATGTATCAAGTATCAATGTGATGAATATTTCGTGTTTACTTTATCTCAGAACTGAAACATGAATTGCAATTTGATATACATAAGACAAGAATTCATGCTTTACACAATAGACTAAAGATTTATAAGTGAGTAACCATAAAGCTTTATAAATCATAAAAGACATATATATTGATTTTCTTCAAGTATATATAGTGGATATAAAGTGAAATTCTTATGAGAAACATTGCTATTTTAAGATGTTGCTAGGTCGTTGCTAGGCAAATTTAACCTTTATTTCAAGCCATTGCTAGGGAAAATGGTCAGACATAACTGCATCGATACATTTGCTATATGTTAAGAAATAATGTGGAAGAGATCCAAAAGCAGTGAACATATTATAGATATATGGTCTGCAAATGCCAAAATGGACATTGTAACCTGTTGCCATGTTGTTGCTATGCCATATGGTGATGTCACTTCTGTAAATATGTTAAAATTGTTGTATATTTGGATAAGAAAACTTTTTTTGTAATGGTATTATAGCATCCTAGCATATATTAAGTGGATTTATATTGTAAAAATGTTATTTTAGGCGGTTGCTATGTGGTTGCTAGGCATATATATGATATCATAAAAAATCAAAGCCCTAAGATTAGAGTTTGTCCTAGGATCTAACTTTGTGCCAAGTTTGGTTGCTCAATTCCCATTCTCCATTGGTGAATTATAGTAAGATAAGGAGTTTGGAATTTGAATTTTCTATTAAAATTGTGTTAAAAAGCAGAAATTACAGGTATCCTGTGTAATCTCAATTATTTTTCTAAAATGGGCTTTAGAAAAAGGGCCCTGTCTCTTAAATATCTTTAAATACATAAAACTATAAGAAGAAACTCAAAAACAAACTTTAGTATGAAAACGCAAGATCATTCACCAATTGATTCCGCTATCAGAAGTTATAAACCTTTCAATTTTTACAAAATCATCCTCAATATAATACTTGTTTTCTATATGCAAATGCTATGGACCGAAGTGCCTAT